GATTTCAATCTTGGTGTATCTGTTGATGTTTGTCTTGTGCCCCAGTATGTGATCGATCCTGGAGAATGATCCGTGTGCGCTTGAGAAAAATGTGTACTCCGTTTTTTTGGGGTTTAGTGTTCTATAGATGTCTGTTAAGCCCAATTGCTCTAGGTCCTTATTTAGAGCTTTGGTTTCTTTACTTTTTTGTCTTGTTGATCTATCCATTGTTGATAGTGGTGTGTTGAAGTCTCCCACTACGTATGTGTTTTCTCCGATGTCTGTTTTCAGAGAGGACAACAGTTGTCTGATATATTTTGGTGCTCCTTCGTTTGGTGAGTATATGTTAATGAGTGTTATTTCTTCTTGAAGTATTGTCCCCTTGATCATAATGTAGTGACCATTGGGGTCTCTTTTTATCTTTTTGAGTTTGAAATCTGTTTTATCTGATATAAGTATAGCTGTTCCTGCTTTCTTTTTTGGTCCATTTGCTTGTAGGATTGTTTTCCATCCTTTAACTTTGAGCCTATTTTTATCTTTTGTAGCTAAATGTGTTTCCTGTAGACAGCAAAAGGTTGGGTTTTGTTTCTTAATCCAGGCTGCAACTCTGTGTCTTTTTATTGAAGAGTTTAGTCCATTTACATTTAGAGTTAATATTGATATGTTAACATCTGTATTTGCCATTGTGTTTGTCTTTCCTTTGATTTTATTTATTTATTCTTTTAATAACTTTTTTTTTTTTGGCCTTCTTTCATTGTTATTCGTCCCTCTGAGGTTCTGGCTTTAGGACTCCTTGTAGTATTTTTTGGAGTGGGGGTTTAGTTGCAATGAAATTCCGGAGTTTCTGTTTGTCTGGGAAGGTCCATATTCTTTCTTCAAAGAGGAAGGAGAGCTTTGCGGGATAGAGTATTTTTGGTTGGCATCTGTTTTCTTGGAGTCTGTTGACTATGTCCCACCACTCTCTCCTTGCCCGTAGTGTTTCTTTGGAGAAGTCTGATGTCAGCCTGATTGGCTTTCCTTTGAATGTTATCTGTTTCTTCCCTCTTGCCAGCTTCATTATTTTTTCCTTGTCCTGGATTCTAGGGAGCTTTACTATTATGTGTCTTGCTGTATTTTTTCTTTCATCGTGGAAGTTTGGTGTTCTTCTTGCTTCTTGTATATCAATTTTCAGCTCCTTCTTCACATTTGGGAAGTTCTCTTCAATTATCTCTTTGAATATTTTCTCTGTTCCTACTTCTCTCTCCTCTCCTTCTGGTATTCCTATAACTCTTATATTTCCTTTCCTCATGGAGTCAGATAGTTCCCGAAGTCTTTCTTCATTCTTTTTCCTTCGTACTTCTCTTTCCTTTTCTGTTTTGGTTCTTTTTATTTCTGTGTCTTCAAGAGCACTTATTCGTTCTTCCATTTCATCAATTCTGCTTTCATTGCTTTCCCAGAATTCTTTAGTTCTTCCACTAATTCTTTGATCTCCTGCATTTCTTTTACTTCCCTCTTTAGGGACTCAATTTCATTCTTCTGATCGTTGATTAATTTTCCCTTATCATTGTTTTCCTTTATGACTTCTGTCAGTTTTTTAATCACGGCAATTTTAAATTCTCTTTCTGGAAGGCTCAGGAGTTCTTCCAAGTTACTGTCGTTGCAATCTGGGGGCTGGTTTTCTTTTTGTGGTGTGCTTTTTCTCTGGAGAGTTGCTAGGTTGCGTGTGGTTCTTCTCCTCCCTACTGTCTGTTTTCTAATTTGCTGTATGCGTTGGGACACTGTGTTGTTGGGACTGGCCGGCATCTTGGGTGGGCTTCTCTGCTCCCCTCTGGTTCCTCCAGGAGTCATCTGTCAGTTTCAAGCAGTCTTTATTGGAGAAAGGTCCCTGTCCTAAAATGCCGATGTGGGGACACACTCCCCTGTGCACCTGGTCTGCCCCAGCGGTGGGTTCCTGTTCACCCTCTGGGCTTGGACTGCAGGCCAGAGGGGGTCTGGCGTGGGCGAACTTCCCCTGCTCACCTCTGGCTCCTGAGGGAACCTTGTGCAGGTAGTCTTTACTGAAGAAATGTCCCTGTTCTAAAATGGTGATGTGGGACACACTCCCTGCGCGTCCAGTCTCAGGCACACTCTTCTGCGCGCCTGGTCTGCCCCGGCTGTGGGTGCTCGCTCTCCCTGTGGGCTCAGACTACTTGTTCGGAAGGGGCCCAGTGTGGGCTAACTCCCCAGCTGGCCACTAGCTCCTTCAGGAGCCTGTGCTGGCTTCAAGTCGCTAGGTGGCGCCAGAGATCTCTCCTAGAGCCCTTGGGGAGCTGATTTTTCCACCCCGTGGGACAGGGAGCAGAGCGGGGATGGTAGGGTACACCTCAACGGCTTTGGGGTGCTGTGTCTGCCTTGTGCCCCACCGTCGTGGGGAACCCACGCCCCTAATTTCGTGCCCCGGGTCTCAGTTCCAAAGCCCTCAGTTCCAGGACGCGGGCTGTAGCCCAGTTCAGTGGCGCGGGAATGGCGCCTTTTGCACCGCTCCCGTGCCTGGGCGCCTGGTTCCTGCTCACTCAGGGAGGGACCTTCACCTCAGTGAGGACCTCCGCGCATCTCCCCGCAAGCCTAGGTCGTCTCCCAAGCCTAGGTCGCAGGCGCGGGGACCTGGGCAGCCGCGATCCCGGTCTGCACTTGCTTTTCAAGCGCGCCAAGCGCGCCGCGTTTCCGCGCCAGCTTACCGGCAGCCCGGGCTGTGTGCGCGTCTCCCGGGGTCTTTGTTCTTCTCTAATGGCGCCCGGAGCCGTTCGCTCACCGCCGCGGCGGATCCTGCAGGGTTCGCCTCAGCTCCCGTTCACGGAGTGTGGTGACTGCAATAGTTCCTTTCCACTCACAGTCCCGCTTGCTGCGTCGTTTGTTCTTGTGGGCCGTTTTGGTTTGTTGTTTTCCTCCTCTCTGCCGTCGGAGAGTGCCGCCTCTGTGGGCGGGGGAGGGGAGCAGGGTTCTGCGCTTCCCTCCCTTCTAGTCCTCTTTTATGGCCACTTTCTTCTTCGGGTAGTTTGTTGGAGTCACCCGTTTATCTTCCGTGTCCCAGTTCTCACTGGGACCTGCCGCTTTTCCTCCCTATTAACTTTTTTTAATGGGAGATCTTACTCGCAGCGTCTCCTCGCCGCCATGTTGCTCCGCCCCCTCTTCTCATTTATTTTTAAATTTATCATAAATAGGTGTCAATTCACCAAATGCTTTTTCAGCAACTACTATGATCATCATGATTTTTCTCCCCTTTTTTTTTTTTTTAATGTGGCAAAGTATCTTTTTTTTATGTTAAATTAATTTGCATTCCTGGAATAGACTCAATCTGGCTCACAATGTATTGTCCTTTTAAAACTCCCTTCTGGGGGGCCTCCCTAGTGGCGCAAGAGGTTAAGCATCAGCACTGCGAAGCAATCCACAACTACTGCAGCAGGAGTTCAATCCTCTACCAGGGGGTGAAACCACGTGGTACAGCATACCTCTCCTGCCTCACCTGCTGCTCCCCTCAGCAGTGCATTTCAGTCCATCAGCCTGTTCTGTTCCCCACTTTGTCTTTGGTGAATCCTCTCACCCCCCTGAACCTCTGGCCTAAACTCCAGCTCTTGCATGCTTAAATAAATAAATCTTCCAAAAATAAAAAAAAAATATGGGCCTCCCCGGTGGTGCAGCGGTTGAGCCCTGGGCTGCGAGGCTGCCCGCAGCCTCTGCGGCGCCGGTTCAATCCCCAGTCACCGGCGAGGGTCCCACATGGCGGGCAGACCTCTCCTGCCTAGGCTGATGCTCCCCTCAGCGGTGTACTTGTCAGTCTGCCTGTTCTGCTCCCCGCTCTGGCTCTGGTGAACTCTCTCGCCCTCCCATGCTTCTGACTGCCCAGTACTTGTGTGCATAAATAAATGAATCTTTAAAAAAAAAAAAAAAAGGGAACCATGTAAAAAAAAATAAAAATAAATAAAAATCCCTTCATATCCAGACAATATGTTAATGCTTTATTTAGGATTTTTTTGCATTTGCATTCAATGAAAGAAGTGGTCCTTTCATGTTCCTTTCAGTAGTGTCCTTGTCATCTTTTGGGGCCAGGAACATGATGCTGGCCTCATCAAACAAGTTGGGAAATATCTCTATTTAAGGTTGGAGTTATTTCTTTAGTATTTGCCAGTAAAGTCATCCATCAACAGACATCATTGTGGGAAGTTTTTAAGTGAGAAATTCAATTTCCTTAATAGGCATCAGCTCCTTCTGACTTTCTATTTCTGCTTGTGGAAGTTTTAATTATTTTTCCTAGGATTTCTCTATTTCAGAAACTTTGTTGGCATAAAGCACTTCATATCATTCTTTTAGTATCTTGTGTGTTAAGAACCTGTAGTGGTACTGCTTTTTCACTCCTTATGCATTTTGTGTGTTTTTTTTTTTTCCTTGTCAGTCTTAAGAGGGGGTTGTCAATTAGCCTTTTAAAAGAACAAATATATGGGTATATTGTTACACTTCATTGTGTGTTTGTTTTCCTATTTAAGTAATTCTTGCTATAGCCTTTATTATTCCCTTTCTTTTATTGTGTTTGGATTTGTCTGTATTCTTCTATTGAGAAAAAAATTAGCATTTTTTTATCCTAGATAACTAGAAGCGATTGTAAAGGTATTTGTAGAATTAAAGAAAAAAGTCTGAAATCAATTTGACTATTGTTCTTTTAAGGGTAGTCTTTTTTTTCTGACAAACTTGTGTAAATTTGTCTTTTTTAAAGTTTGTCTTTGATATTTTTAAATTTTGTAAAATGTCAAGATGTGTGCCTATTTGGGTGCGCCCTTTAATCTAAAGGTCTTTCATTTTTCTTTAACTCTGGAAAACATGTCTCCATTATTGCTTCAAATATCCCCCACTCCCCATTTTTATTTCCTCTTTTTCTAGGACAGCAATCAACCAGGTATTAGGTTTTTTGCTTCTGTCACCATAATTCTTACTTTTAAATTTTTTTCTCATTCTAAGAACATTTCTCTCTTTTATAGGCATGTTTCATTTATGTTAATATATTGGTCCTTCTGTTCTACTGCCCCTGCTTCTGTAATCCAGTTTATTTCTATTCAATTTGGCAATGTTCTGGAGAAAGGAGAGCCCATCCACATACACCCAGCCCCATCCCAAGCCCCGGGACATCACTAATCTCTTCCCCATCTCTATGTTATTTCATGAATGTTGTATAAATGGAATCTTGCTATAGGTATCCTTTCTATGATTGCATTTCCTCACTCAGTATAACCTACTGCTGAATCAGTAGTTTGTTCCTTTTTATTTCTGAGATCAGCTTTTTCATTTCCACAATTGAAAAAATCCCTGTTGCCTGTTGTTAGTAATTTTTAGTTTGATTCCATTATTGTCAGAGCACATGTCCTGTATGACTTCAATTCTTTGACATTTGTTGAGGCTTGTTGTATGGCCCACGAAATACTCTATCTTGGAATATGTTCCATGTTGACTTTAACAGGATATGTATTCTGCTCTAGGTGGGTGGAGTGTTCCATAAATGAACAGGAGTCTGGTCTGTTGATGGTGTTCTCCTTGCTAAAGGTCTCTCTGGTTGTCCTGTAACTGCTAAGGGTAGAAGCTGAAGTCAATTATAATTGTGGGTTTATATCTTTCTCCTTTCAGTTCTAGTAGTTTTTGCATTATATATTTGAAAGACCATGGTCTGGGGCATACATATTTGAGATTACTATATATCATTCTAATGAATTGATCCTCTTATTATTATGTCTCTTCCCTTTGAAATTTTCCTTAGAAAATTCCCTTGGAAATTTCCTTTGCAATTGTCTACTTGCTCTGATATTAATATAATCATTCTGCTTTTAAAAAGAAATGTTTACCCCTCAGCAATGTATTTCAGTCAGTCTGCCTGTTCTGTTCCCCACTCTGGTGAATTCTTTCACACACAGCCCCCTACCCCCTGCATCTCTGGTCTGTGCCCCAGCTCTTGTATGCATAAATAAATAAATCTTAAAAAAAATAAAAAGAAATGTTTAAATGATATATCTTTCCCCCCATTAATTTTTAGTCTACCTATGTCATTATATTTGAAGTGACCTTCAGCATAAAGTAGGCAACATAGAGTTGGGTTACTTTTTAAATTCACTTTACCGGTCTGTCTTCAAATTGCTGTGCTTAGGCCATTAACATTTATTAGGGCTTAAGTCTGTCATTTTATTGCTTGTTCCCTCTTTTACGCCTTATTGTTGGAATTCCACCTATTGTTTTTTGGGTTTTTTTTTTGAGTATATCACTAAGTTTTCTTAGTGGCTACTCTAGACATCACCAGATGTGCAACTTATCAGCCTACTAGTATCCATGTTTTACCTCATCCAATGCCGTGTAGAAGATTTGTACCCTTCTCATTTTTCTTTTTTTTTTTTTTTTAAGATTTATTTATTTATACGAGCACTGGGCACAGTCAAGAAGTGCGGGAGGGTGAGAGAATTTACCAGAGTCAAAGCGGAGAGCAGAGCAAGCAGACTGATGAAGTACACTGCTGAGGGGAGCAGCGGGCGTGGCAGTAGAGGTCTGCACACCATGTGGGACCCTTGCCGGTGGCCAGGGATCGAACCAGCACTGCAGAGGCTGCCGGCAGCTTCGCAGCCCAGCGCTCAACCATGCACCACCAGGGGAGGCCCCCCTCTTCGCATTTTTCAAAAACAATTATTATGAATATTTCCTCTATACACACTGAGTACCACCTCAGGGTTATGTTTGCTTCAACCATTAATTAGATATGATTAAAAATACTCATGAGGTGGGCCTCCCTGGTGGCACAGTGGTTGAGCGATGGGCTGCTAAGCTGCCCGCAGCCTCTGCAACGCCAGGTCGATCCCTGGCCACCGGCAAGGGTCCCACATGGTGTGCAGACCTCTACTGCCACACCCGCTGCTCCCCTCAGCAGTGTGCTTCGGTCCTTCTGCCTGTTCTGTTCCCTGCTCTGGCTCTGGTGAATTCTCTCACCCTCCTGCACTCCTGACTGTACCCATTGCTTGTATAAATAAATAAATTCTTTTAAAAAATTAAAAAAATAAAAATACTCATGAGGAGAAAGATGGTTAGTTATATTTGCCTCTATTTTTACACTTGTGTTGTTCCTAACTTTCTGAAGGTAGCAGCTTTATTCTGTTACAGTTTTCTGTTTAGAGAGTGTCCTTTAGCCATTACTCAAGGGTAAATCTGTTAACAAAACTGTGAGTCTGCCTTCACATGAGAATTTTTTTTCCTTCTCTACCCCCAAAGGATACTTTGCTGGGAGAGGATTCAGTTGATAGTTCTCTTCTTTCAATACTCAAAAAAAAAAAAAAAATTCCTCCAGTCTCTGACTTTATATGAAAAGTCTGCTGTCATCTAAATTAGTATTCCTCTCTAGGCAATGCACTGTGCTATTTTTATTTTTAATAGTTTTCCCTCTGTCTTTAGTTTTGAGGAATTTCATTAAGTGTCTTGGTGTGGGTTTTTAGAGAGCTTCTTCTATTTAGGGCTCGGTTTGCTTTTTGTACCTGGACATTTGTGTCTTTCACCAAATTTAGGAAGTCTTCAGCCATTATTCCTTTAAATATTTTTCCAGTCCCACTCTCTTCCTTGTTCTGGGACTCTGGTGGCTTGAACTGCTGTCCCCTAGGCCTTTGAGGTTCTGTTCACTTTTTTCTGTCTATTTTCTCTCTGTAGCTTTGAGAAGTTCTACTCCTCTTTGAGTTCCCTGATTTTCTACTGTCACTTCCCCTCTACTGTTGATGAACAGTGACGAACATGATGTTATTTTGGTTATTGTATTTTTCGGTTCTTAAATTTTCACTTGGTTCTTTTTATAACTTCCATTTCTATGCTGGATTTTCTATTTTTCCATTAGTTTCAAAAGAATTTACATTTTAAAGCATCTTTATGATTGCTTTAAAATCCTTGCCAGATAAATCCAAATTTGATTCATCTTGGAATTTGTGACAGTGATCTTTTCACATTCAAATGAGGGTTTTCCTGGTTCCAGACAAGTGATTTTTGAATGTATACTGGGGATTCTGGGTAAGAAACACCTAGTGTTATTTAAATCTTTCATTTTAGCAGGAAGTTACCCTGTTTAGGTTTTTGCATGTTGGTTCCAGCCTACTTTTGCAGGCTGTAGCTCCAGTGAGTTTTTCTTTCCTAGCCTCATGAGGCCCTCCTGGTCTGTTTTGCTCTCCTGGTGCATCTGGGGCTGTCACTCAATCCCTGTCCATGCTGCCTGAAGGGTCATAAGGCATGTCTGAGTGCTGCCTGTTGTCAGTACTGCTACTTGGTCAGGAAAGGACAGCACCTCCTGGTCCTGGATTTCCTTGAGTCAGAGGTGGTAGGACAGAAGATACTGCGTTCCCCTGATGCTGCCTCTGCAGGGAAGACTACCCACCTGTGCCACAGTAGTCACATGCCATGGCCAAGTTGGCCTGTAGGGCTCTTGTGCTTTTGTGGTAGGCAGACTGTGGGGTGGGGGCAGAGTACCCCCCTAGTTCTCTGTAGGGCCACCTCTTTTTCATGCTTTTAAGCAGAGGTAGGTGACTTATCTTGCAGTGTTTCTTGCCTATGCTGTTATGACTTTGTTAACACTGTTAAGTAGCGCTCAAGTTGTTGGATGTTTCAACAGAAGACCACAGGTGAAGTGGAATAGAGATGCTTACTACTCATAAGTCTTGCAGGATGTGTACCCACATGGGAGGTCAAGGAAGGGGTAGGTAGAATGCACACAGGGCCAGACACAAGCCTTTATCTGTGGGTGAATGTTTAGGGTCCCCAGGCTAAAGTTGGATGGGTCAATTCAAACCAAAAGGGGGGGGGGGTTGATAAGCTTCACAAGGGTCTTATCTAAGGGGTCAGCTGTGGGCAGGAGGGGACACTGGGGAAATCATATCAGGAACTTACATTTTCTTGTGACTCCACAGGCTGTTATGTAGGGCATGCACTCAAGAGTGAGGTTAGTGTCAGTTCAAGGCTCTGGAGATCAACTGGCCCCACAAAATGGGTAACTGAAGCAGAAGCATTAGAGAATAGCTTGGCCACTCTCCACATCCCACCTGCAGTTTGGGTTGCAGGCCTCTTGACATTTATTCTGGAAATATGTGAGAAAATGAAAATGCAGGGAATTACCACACTACCAAGGCCCACATGGTCCCTAACTAGTCTCTCTTCTTCCTTCTAGCTCAGTCTTTCCCCTGCTGCCTGTTGAACTCTTTGCAAAGAATTTATTGAGAGGGTAGGAGGAGGAAAAAGTGAGTTTGCACCAACTTTTCCTAGAGCAGGAAGTTGCACTATCCTAATCTCAGTGCTCATTATTTCTCATCTTGACCATGGCCCTGGCCTTCAGAATGGCCTCACCCACTTTCCACCATGACTCACTCTGACCTGCTCTTCAACAATAGCTAAAGTTGTCTTTTAAAAATGCAACTCCAATGGTGCCAGCTCTCCCACCTTAAAATCCTTCCTTGGTCCCTGTTGTTCAGAGATACCGCCCCCCACTCTAGTCTGGCCCCACCCACTTCCCCCATTCTTCTCCTTGCTCCCTGGACTGCAGCCACAGAGAGTTTGTCTTGTTACCAGGAACAGCATCCGGCCCCTCCCTGTATTAGCTTCCTCTGGCTACCTAAACAAAGCAGCACAGACTGGGCAGATTAAACAACAGAAATTCACTCTCTCACAGTTCTGGAGGCCTGAAATCCAAGATCACACTGTTAGCAGGATGGTTTCTTTTGAGGCTGTCAGAGCTAGAATGCTCCACGCCTCTCCTTGGGCTGCAGACGGCCATCCTCATATTCACACCGGTTCTCCCGTGTACCCTCTCTCCAAACTTCCCTTTTATAAGGACACCACTCATACTGGATAGGAGACACCCTGATGTAGGTAATGACTACATTACCTCTGTAAAGGTGCTATCTCTAAATAAGGTCACATTCTGAGATCCTGGGGGGGGGTGGTAGGACTTCAATACCTGAACTCTAAGGGGACACAATTCCACCTTTATCACTCTCGTCACAGGCCCTTTGCAAATGCTATTACTCCTTTTGTGCCTCATTTCATCTCATCAACTGTTTTTATTTTAAAGATTTATTTATTTATGCATACAAGAGTTGGGGTGCAGGCCAGAGATAGGGTGGGGAGAAGATTCACCAGAGAGACAGAGTGGGGAGCAGAACAGGCAGATGTACTGAAATACACTGCTGAGGGGAGCAGTGGGTGAGGCAGGAAAGGTCTGTTGCACCATGTGGGTCAGCTCCCTGGCTGGGGATATAATTCATGCTGCAGTGGCTGAAGATATCTTCAGAATTCTGTGTCTTAAGCCCTTGCACCCCCAGGAAGGCCCCTCACCTCATCAACTGTTACTTATTATTCTCATTCCATGCAACATCATTTCCTCGGGAAGCTTACCTGTCTAGATCCAGTTCCTTTGCCATGCATTCCCTCAAGACTGTTGCAACTGTACACTTAATAACACATTCATTTCATTAACAGTCCTATCCCGTCTCATGAGACTGTAAGCCTTATGACAGCAGGGACTAACCAGCATTTGCACGTGGTCCTATTCCAGGCGCTTTAGAGAGCCTCTTGAAGGGAAGAATGGATGGGAGGGGGTGGTTATCATGTATACTCATAAAACACAACAATCGTCTATTACCACCACCACTTCACCAAACAAATAAAGTTTGATATCTAAAACCAAGGACATTTCACGTTTTGAAAACTCATTGGGTGCACTGACATAGACAGGAACTGCCCGATTGACCATATTTGGGGACCCCGATTGCACAGTGGACCCCGGTTGCACAGTGAGTTCTATCCAACTCGTGGTCTAGCCTAACCTTCCACAGGCTTTAAAGAGTAGCTTTTCCGGGTCCCTTTCTGGGGCAGGCCCCGCATCCCTGCTAACGGCCCAGGGTCAGCTGTTCTGGACAGACCTCTGTATGCCAGGACCACAGTGCTGACCTCGTGCGCAGAACCGGCTCGAATGACGTCGCAGCGCAGGGACGTGAGCCTGCAAAGAGGGGTCACCCACCCCCTCTCCTATCCCTTCGGCCCGGGGCCTCAGGGGGCCGGGCCTGGGGCTAACCCGCGCGGGACCTTCCCAGAACGCCTCCGTTCTAGCAAGAACAGTTACCCGCGACCCCGCCCGAGGAGAGCAAGCAACTCCTCCCGCCCCGCCGCGGCGTCCCACCTTTTACGCGCACTTCGCCCCGCCCACTTGCCCCGCCCCGTTGCGTCAACCAACCGACGCCCCCATCAAGGATCCAATAAAGTTGTACTCCGAGCCGGCCGGAAGGCGAGCCGTAATTCGCGTCGCGGCGTCGTAAAAGTGCCGGTTTCCCCTAGCGACGGGCAACGCGGGGAACATGGCGGCGCTGGTGGCGGCTGAGGCCGCAGCATCCGCGGCGCCCCCCGGCCCAGCCGAAGTGGCTGAGACGGCCGAGGCGGCGGAGCTGAGCCGTGCGTTGAGTCGCCTGCTGCCCGGGCTGGAGGCCGACAGCAAGCTGAGCCGGCGGCGCGCACTAGAGGCGCTACAGCGCGCACTGGAGTCGGCGGGGCCCGAGGCGCCCGAAACCGACCCTGCCGCGGCGGCAGCCGCCTTCCAGGGTCCGTGGGCGCGCCTGCTGCTGCCGCGCCTGCTGCGCTGCCTGACCGACCCGGCTGAGGGCTGCCGCGCGCTGGCCGCTCACCTGCTGAGCCTAGGCTTGAGCCGCGCCGCGCGGCCCCGCGACGCCCTGCCGCGTCTGGTGCCGGCGCTCGCTGCTCGCCTAGCGGGGCCGGAGCCCACGCGTCGCCAGCCGCCAGAGCCTTGCGAGGAACTGCGCCTGGCTCTCGTGGAGCTGCTCGGCTTGGCTGTGCGCCTGGGCGGCCCTGCGCTTGCACCCCACCTGGACGACGCAGTGCGTGTGCTGCGCTGCACGCTGCTGGACCCCTTCGCCGCCGTGCGCCGCGAGAGTTGCGAGTGCGCAGCCAGTCTGGCGCGCGCCACGCCAGGTAATCTAGTGCTGGGAAGTGGCTAGAGGCGGGTGGAGGAGCCAAGGCTTGGGGGCTATGGTCGCTTCCTGGATCCCTGCAGACCCCACAGAAAGTGTTTCTAAGTGGATCTGGCATGGTGGTGTTCTGATAATGCCCTTCGCCAGGGTGAACACACTTTCAGAAACACCTCTCCAACTTTTTCACCTCTTTTCATCTCCATTTCTCTGCGGAATCCACCGGTTTTCTCAGACCACTGTCCTCCAAGTGGAAGGAGGCCTGTACTCTCTTGAATTCATTTAGTCCACTCTCCCCCATTTTAATAACAGATCTGACCAAGTTGCATTTTCTGCAGAATCTTGCCCGAGTTACTCCTCTTTGCTGTCTCAGATGGCTAAAGGTTTGTGGTCGCTGGAGAGTTCCCTTTGAGGAATAAGCTTTGCAAATCTGAGGGGGGTAGAAGTGGATCCAGGAACAAGTCCTGGTGGAGGCATACGTTTAGCATTAAATGCAACTGGAAGGCAGTAGAAGGTGTTAAGGGCAGTGATAGGCTCATCTTCAGGTTTTTAAAGATCCTTCTGGTGCTCTGTAGAGAACAGATTACAGAGGTGGCAAGAGTGGAAATGAGGAAACCAGGAGGGACTCATAACATCCGTGTTTAGATGATGCTGGGTTAGACTTGGGGGTTGGGTTTCTAATAGAGATGGAGGGAAATGAATGGTTAGTTATGTTAAGGTAGAGCTGGCAGGATTTCCTGTTGTACTGGGTGAGAGAGGAGGGAGGCGAAAGTTTGGGGGGAGGGCAATACAGGTCTTAGGATAATGTTGAGGTTTCCATTTGGGGTCATTCCATTTTGGGTTGAGTTTGGATTTAGATAGTGCAAGCTCTGGCAGAGCTTAGAAAAGAGGCTAGGGTTGAAAAAAGCTATGTGAAATTACAAGCTTTTAATGCACTTCTTATCCACCTTAACCACCTCTCTGCCTGGTCTATGCATCAGCCAGATGGAGTCTTTCATGTGCCTTCCAGCCTTTGTGTGTCCCCTCACAAGACTGAATTCTGGAAGAGCATGACTGTGCCTCCGTATAACCCACACATATAGCATGGAGCCTACCACCTAGTGGGTGCTCACTGACTGTTGAGTCAACTGTTTCTTCTACTGAAGCATCAGCTTATCCAACATCATTCATTCTCCCTGCCCACTCCCAGGTGAGGGACCTCTCCTGAAGTTCCGTATCACACCAGGTAGTAGATCAAGATCTATCTTGATCTGAGGAGACCTGAGAGGTAAAAGAACTCACTTAAAGTGAGTTGAAATAGCCATGCAGTTATGTCCCAGGCACTAGCAGACCTGAGCCAGAGCTCCAAAACTAGCTATTGAGCTTCGCTGTCATGAAGACCCTTGTTCAGACTTTCTATGAGGACCTTACAAATAGGAAGTGGAGACTAAGTCTAGAGCAATGATGCCCTGCTTCGGAAGTCTTTCTGGGTACCTGATTCCACACTGCTGGATGTGGGGTCTTACATAGCAACCTCTGGGCCAATTTCTCTCGCTTGTTAGTGTCCCTCCCTGCAGGCTCTCTGTGTTACTGTCAACAGCTCCAGACCTTCTTATAGCTCCTGTGTTTAGCTGCAGTGTTACCAAGTCCCCAGCCTTTTTCCTTTGGTCCCTATTGCCTCAAGTCCTCCAAGACCTATAGGTGCTATTTGTACTCATCCTGAGCTCTGCCAGTGCTGGGGCACAAAGCCAGGCTTGGCAACCCTGAACCCTGTGCTTCCTGTTTCTGATTCCTTGGGTGGGCAGAAGAGAGAAGCACAAAGGTTGCTGGCTCGGCCCCCAGGGACTCCAAGAACAGGGTCCAAGAGAGGACCCCCAGGGAGGACCCCTGGTAATGGGTGGCCTCCCCATCCCACAGATCACTTCCACATGCAGTCGGAGTCTCTGATCAGCCCCCTGATGCAGACCATATCCCATCAGCACTGGAAGGTTCGGGTGGCTGTCATCGAGGCCACAGGCACAGTGATCCAATTTGGCAACGGGAAGTCTGTGGATGATGTGCTTTCTCACTTTGCTCAGCGGCTCTTTGATGACGTCCCTCAGGTAAGGTAGTTTCTCCTCTGGCGGTGGCTTCTCTCTACCATGTGACATTGTTAACTCACTCTTTTATTGTCCCTCCATCTTTCTGCTCTGAATGTGAGCCTGCTACCCAATAGCATAGAAACCAAAAACCATGCCACCAGCTTTTGAAAAAACAACTAGTTTATCACTTTTCCTTGGCAGGAGACTAGAAGTCTCTTAAATCAGTCTCCTTAGGGATGGGGTTTTGCACAGTATTTATAGAGTTGAGTTAAAGTATTACACAAATGCAATTTGGTAGAGTCTGACTGGTTGCTTCATCTTGAATAATGGTGTAATGATTTTGGGTTTAGAATTGCAACAAAACCAAGCTTGCTACTAAATATTGTACATTTAGCCATGAGCCAGGGCAGCTTTGTCCCTTCTTTCATGGCTGTTTTGCTGTTCAAGCAATGACAAATCACCTAGAGGGCAGTGAACACTCTTCTGGGCCTGAAACACAATTTGTTGACTTATGAAAAATTTGTTTTCTCATAAAATAGGTAGGGATAGTTTGTCCCATTGTTTCATTCTTGCAAGCCTGCCTTGCTGTTATAACAAGAAAAACAGAGCACCATGATCGCCACAGACTCAAGTGCATCACAAGATACTCCTCTCTCACATCTTCAGGAAATGAGGGAAAAGCCGAGTTGTTTGGATATAGTCGTTACCCTTAATTCCAGAAAATATGGAAGAGGACCTCCTCTTTGGAAAACATCTCCACTGCCTTTTCTGCAGTTTGCAGACCCATCTTTCACATGCAGGTCGATCTGGCCCCGGGGGAGGAGGAAGATGTAACAGGGTTGGGTTTGTGTGGGATAATCCATTCTGGTGGGCCTTGGGACCCACTGAGGCAGACAGAGCACAGATGGATTACTGACTTCTATAAGCAGAAGCCAGCTTGGAGGGCATGTTGTGGATCTGAGCTCATGGTTGGCTTATAAAACTTCACAAACCTTAACACGGGAAGGGACTTGCAGTGGGCTCTCTTCTACAGGGAGGAAAGGGATGAAGGAGGAGCAAGTCTTCTTGGTCAGGTAGGGTAGGAGGAGTAGTGGTCTCTGACAGAGTCCTCCAGAGTGGTTAGAAGATGTCCCTGCCCTGAGGCCATTCACACCTGCAGCATTGTGGGTGTGGTGGTCTGGCCCCTGCTGTTCTGATGGGGAAAGTGTTAGCCACATGCATGGAGCCCTTGGCCTGTCCACACCCCAGCTCCTTCAGTTCTCCCAGGAACCTGTCCTGTCAGTACTTTCACTTACCCTGAGACTTGAAGGCAACTTAATGTGCTCAAGGTCGCCCAGATGGAGCCAGCCTCCCGGCCAGGCCTATACCACTAGCAAACGCCTTCTGAGCACATGCACTAGGTTTCCTCTATGTTGCTTTGTTTATTTTGTGTTATGTTTTAAAGCAATTTAATTGAGATGTAATTCACATACCATATGAGTCACCACATTAAAAAGTATTCAACTCAATGTTTTTGATATATTTCATTATTAATTGAACATTGGTTTACCAAAACATATGCAGCCAGCTTTGCCATTTTTTACCAGCTTTGCCATTTACCAGCTTTGCCATTTTTAAGTGTACAAGTTCAGAGGCATTAAGTACATTTACATTGTTACGCAACCATCACTACCATCCAAAATATTTTATCATCACAAACAGAAACTATAATCATTAAGCAGTAACTCTTACTTCCTCTTCCCCGACTTCTGATAACCTCTCATCTTTCAGCCTCTAGAAATTTGTTGGTACTAGGTTTTTCATAGAAGTGGAACCAAATGTGGTGTGGCCTCTTTGATTGAGCCTGTGTTTGGGGTTCATCTATGCCATCAAATGTTTCAGTGCTTCATTTCTTTTGAAGATTGAATGGTATTCCGTGTGTCTGTGGATGGACTACATTTTGCTTATCCATTCATCTGCCAGTGGACAATTGCAAAGGAAATTTCCAAGGGAATTTTCTAAGGAAAATTTCAAAGGGAAGAGACATAATAATAAG